TCCTTTCTCGAATCAATTTTAGGTAACGATAACCGTCGCTGCTGCCACAGCTGTTATCAGTTGACCTGCAATTATATTGCTTGTTCACTTTCGCGCTTTCGTTTTGTTTTGTTGTTGTGAAGTGACATTCCATGGCGAAGGACATTGCCAAATTATTTAGTGACTTTAAAGAAGAATTCCGACAAGAGTGGAAGTCTTTCAAAGTATCACTGGAGCGAGACATTCGAAGTGACATCCGTGAAATGAAGGCTGACATAAATAGCTTTAAAGACAGTGTGAACTTCATGAACCTCGAGTTCGAAGACGTTAAGGCCAAGTTTGGCACAGTTTTGAAGGAAAATGCCGAGCTTAAGAAAGAAAACGGAAACCTTTCGGAAAAAAATCAGCCAAATGGAAAAGCGTCTAATCGACTACCAGGATCGGCTCACAGAAGCTGAGCAATATTCAAGAAACTCCAACCTAGAAATCAAGGGCGTTGTAAAGCACGATCACGAAGTACTTCCCGACCTGATCAATAGGCTAGGGGAATCAATCGGCGAGTCAATCGCTAGAAGTGACATTGCGATCTGTCATCGCGTGCCAACCCAGGACGCCACCAAATCTAACATTATTCTCCAATTTGTAAGCCGCAGCAAACGTGATGCCGTCCTCGATAAGGCAAAAAAGAAGCGCATTAAGAACTCTGATCTTGGCCTTGACACGGATGCCCCTGCCTTCGTCAACGAACACCTATGCCCATCTCTGAAGCGGGTTCTCGGAAAAGCGATTGCCAGAAAGCATCAATGTAATTGGAAGTATGTCTGGGTTCGAAATGGCAAGATTTTTGCATGTCAAGCAGAGAGGACCCCACTTGTTCAGATTAGCAATGAGGCTGACGTAAGGAAAATCTGTTAGTTTAGCTACGCTGTCTTGTACAGTCTCTTCCATTTGTTCCTTTTTTTTTATGGTTTACGTCGAACTTGTGTTGCCGGAAGAACTGAGTCAGTTCTTATCCTCCCAAAATTGTACCCATATCTTTCACTTGAACACGCGTTCTGCAACAAATAAACATGACTCTATTATATCATTTCTGGATCAGTGCCGTGTATCATTCGATACGATAATGTTCACGGAAACCTGGTATCAGCAGGATGCTGATATGCTCGTTCTGCCGGATTACACACATTTCTTTTTAAACCGTCAGCATAAACGTGGCGGTGGTGTCTCAATTCAAGTGAAATCTTCAATTAAATGTGAGTTGTTAGATATTTTACTGAAATTACAAGTGATTATGAGATCCTAAGCTTAAAATATGGGGCTAATATAAGAGCTGTCATGTACCGCCCACCTTCGGCGGATTTTGAAATGTTTATTTCTTTTCTTGAGCGCTTTCTAGACTACGTATCGGCTAATAACTACTCCTTGGTCCTAGGGGGTGACCTCAACGTTAATTTACTAGAGGACTCTTTCCAAACTAAGGCACTCAATAATACGTTGCATTCTAACGGGTTTCGTAATGTTATCATGTCTCCCACTAGAATCACTACATCCACATCAAGTGTAATTGACCTTTTTATTACTAATATTACAACCAACATCAAAGTAACCGGAACCATAAGCTGCGACATAAGCGATCATATTCCAATCTTTTTGACTTTACATAATCATGACCCATACAAAGGTGCTGCTAAATCTTCTGTAACCTACCAAGAAATGACTAATGATTGCCTACTTGCATTTAGGAATGCAGTATTCAACAGTGATTGGACATCGGTTTTCTCTAAACTAGATGTGAATGATGCATATAATGAATTCTTAAATATTTTTAAATCACTTTATGCCCTACATTTTCCGTTTAAAACTGTAACCACGAGCAAAAAAATAAGAAAACCTTGGGTAACCCCAGCCCACATAAAAATGATGAGGAAGAAAACTCGCTTATATGAAACGTTTTTAAAGACGAGGGATCAAAATAAACTGTCATGTTTTAAAAAACTTAGGAACGAATTGACATCTGAGCTTAGGAAAGCAAAATCATCATATTACAAGCAAAAGTTTCATGAGGCTACTAAACAACGACCTGACGTCGTGTGGAAAATTATTAATGAAGTTTTAAATCGTAGAAAGGTTTCCCACTCTATTGGCGAATTAACTATAGACGGTCATAACATGTCAGGTGCACGTTTGGCGGAACAGTTTAATGCTAACTATTCAAATGCTCTACCTACCGCACAGGCAAACGGAAATAATGAAAATGTCCTTTCTTCTGTGAAACATACTGATGATACGTTTTTTCTCAATCCAACTGACGAAGTAGAGGTGTATAACATCTTTCTAGGACTAAAAAACAGCAAAAGTATTGACATTGATAAATTACAAATAAAGCCAGTTAAATTTGTAATGGATATAATTGCCCCACACTTAGCATACATATACAACTTATCATTATCATCTGGTCAGTTTCCCGCAAAAATGAAGTTGGCTAAAGTCACTGTTGTGTATAAAGGAGGCGATAAGCATGTAATGAATAACTATAGGCCAATATCTGAGTTACCTATCTTCTCTAAGGTACTCGAAAAGATTATTCTTACGCGCCTCAATCACTTTTTTTGTAAACATTCTATATTAACGGACTATCAATTCGGCTTTCGCAAAGGCAAATCTACGGAAGCCGCCTTGTTATATCAAAAAGAAATTATATTACGAAATATAGAAAAAAGGCTGATTACTTTAGGTGTGTTCATTGATTTTAGTAAAGCGTTTGATGTCCTAAATCATACAGTGCTACTTATGAAACTTAGTCGATATGGCGTCCGCGGTGTACCACTTGCCTTGCTTCACTCGTATCTAACAAATAGGAAACAGTGTGTAGCTATTGACGGTTTTTTCTCTTCTTTCCAAAGTGTTCTTTGTGGTGTACCGCAGTGAAGTGTACTTGGACCTTTTTTATTTAACGTCTACATCAATGACCTAGTAAACATCGATAACCAAGTTCAGTTTGTTATATATGCGGACGATACGAGTATGTTTTTCTCTGCCTCTGATGCTGATACACTGTTATGCCAAGCCAATTCTACTTTTACCAAATTTGCATTGTGGTCTGATACTAACGGCCTTAAGGTAAATACAATGAAATCTAAAGCAATCTTATTCAGATAAAAAAATAAGCCCATTTCAATAAATTACACTCTCTCACTAGGTACGTCGTCAATCGAAATAGTCAGCCAGCATAAAACTTTAGGTGTATTTTTTTCAGAGAATATGACGTGGGATTGTCATGTAAATTATTTAACAGCTAAACTTTCTCGGATCGTTGGTATTGTTTCTCGTTGTCGCAACGTTTTACCACTCAACATTAAACTTAAAATTTACTATGCATTATTTCAATCACACTTGAGTTATTGTCACCTTGTATGGGCTACTACAACAAAAACAAACCTTAAAAACATACTATTACTGCAAAAGAAAATAATACGATAGATTGCTGATGTTTCCTACACAAACCACACAGAACCTTTATTTTTAAAATATCAAATAATTCCCGTTGAACGCATGTATGAGTATCGTTTGCTTTGTTCCATTCGTTTCTCCTCCGCACACTTCATCGATTTCTTATTCACTATTTCTGAGCTTGTAAGGCATAGCAGTGATGTCAACATACGCCGCAGAGAAGCATGGGTCCTCCCTTGTTCCCGCACGAACAACAACTTTCAAACTTTACATTACAACCTACCACTTGTTTTAAATAAATGCCTCACAAATAACATAAACATATACACGATTAGCAAACGAGACTTGCGCTCTTATATCTTCGTTGTTTCCTAATTTAGTGTTATAATGTTTACAAAGTTCCGATTTTTTTTCTCTCAAATGTTACGCTAGGAGAGTGTTGTGCACTACCAAGCTGCTGCCATGTAATAAGGGTCCCAGACCCAGTCAAGCTGTCTCAACAGCTTTTTGTCTGGGACTCCTTCCAGTGTTTCTGGAAAATAAAGCTTTGATTTGATTTGATTTGAACTGTAGTGCTCAGAAAATATGGTCATTTTTTCGCGAAATGTGTCTGTATCTTTACAGATACTTTTAGCTACTTTTCCTAAAGATACTTTTAGCTACTTTTCCTAAAGATACTTTTAGCTACTTTTCCTAAAGTACTTAGGTTTTCGTGAGAGTTACTTAAAAATAATGTATAGAGTACAGTTAAAAGTTACAAAAAATTGCAACGAGTTACAGTATCGCGATACCACACAAGACTGCGTTGAATGCACATTGCCTGCTGTGAAAAGCAATTTTCTTGTATTTTTTTTTTGATGAACGTACTTTGCGTAAATTGATGGTCGTGCGAAAACTGTTCTTCCCCGGCCGTCACTTGTAGGAGCGGTAGCGATAGAATCACTAGACGCCCGTATCTGCTCGCGTGCGGGCGACATAGAAGAACCGTCTTCGAACGCCGATTTTTCCGTGGAGCTTGTCAACTGACCTACAAACGGTTGCTCCGGGTCGGGTGGCATCAGTGCTGCCAACCTTGGGAATTTTCCCCTAGATGTAGGGATTTCCGTGATCGTTTAAGGGCAAAGGGAAATTTGCTCAAATTTAGGAATTGTTTTTATGAATTTAAGAGGGCTTTAGGAGACGCGTTTCTTCATTTTTCCCTCCTCGTGCCCGCCGTGTGCAGCGGGGGAAAAAGGCTTCCTTGTATATGTGTGCAGTGGGGGAAAAAGGCTTCCCCCCCCCCCCAATATCACAACAGTGATATTGGGGGGGGGGGGGGGGGGGCACACAAGGCCAAAGTAGCAAAGTTTAGTTATGTAAAAAGGTATTAACGTCGCTATTTTAACCTTTAAATGGCCACCCAACCACGGGAGGAATATATTCTTAAGCTACTCCAGAACGGTAATCTAAAAATTAACGCAAATTAACACATTTTTTGGAAATCTAGGGAATTTTTCGATAAAATTCGGGGAAGGAACGACTGCGGAGGTTGGCAACACTGGAGCCTGTCCAGGGGCAGGAGGAGCGCTCACCGGAGGCGCACTCGGAGTGGCCCATGTTGGACTTGACGGAGCCGATGAGGAGCGGCTCCTTGCGTCCCTCGCCGCAGAAGACGTTTCTGATGCCGCTCAACTCCTGGGGATCGCCCACCTTGGTGCCCGTGCCGTGCGCCTCAAGGTACGACACCGAGAGGGGGTCCACCCGGGCCTCCTCGTACACGTCCCGCAGGAGCGCCTCTTGGGCACGGCCCGAGGGAAACGTGACGCCTGCAACGAGGGAAGGATCACCGCTCTGCACTCCGAGTACATGGCGTCTCCCCAATGAAGATTGCTGTTCTTTTGACACGAAATCTGATTTATCGACCCAATTTCCATGGAGATTGGTAACATTTGGCTGTAAAGGCCCGTTCACACACCTGTAACCGAGTAGGACCGGCTGAGACAAGACCGGTTTTAAGCCTGACGCGACGGCTTAGGACCTGCTCCGCAGCAGCGCATACAGTCCTAAGCCGTCGCAAGAGGCTTAAAAACCATTGTTCTCTTAGTCGGTCCTATTCAGTTGCAAGTGTGTGAACGGCCTTAACGAAAAATCGACACCGAAAAGCGCTTCTACTCGCATAGGGAACCATGTAAAAGACCCGGAAGAAATTTTCGGCAGAATTTGAACACACAACCTTGAGATTGTGATTCAAGTGCTTTACCAACTGAACTAAATTTGGCCTTTTTATTTTTATTGCCGAGTATTTTTTACAAGAAAAAAAAACCGTCGCAGCATAAAAATACGTCACGAACACTATTGGCTGAACTATCGCGAGACCGCACTTCCTCTTGCACGAGAAGCCAACACCTTCGCGAATAAGGACTGTTCCTCCAGCTCCTGTTGTGGTGCGGCATATAGGGGCGTTTGTCAGAAATGAAAGCGAATCTTCGACACACTTGCTCCGTGGCCAGACACCGTGGTCCCTCTAAGCAGCAAAGGGTCGCAAAGCGTACGCGAGCTTATGAGGAACGCAAGAGACGGTGACAGTAGCAGAAAGAGCCGAAGAGCCTTCCCCAGCGGCTTCTCAGCCCATAGATGGCTTGTCACACATTCTGTGCTTACCAGTCTTTGAAAGCATGTTCAAGTTGTATATATATATATATATATTTTTTATTTCCACTGCAAAAGCAAATTACGCATTGCCAAACGCTCTTCGCTGGTTCACGCAACCGCGACTGCCGACGACCGACTGCAATACGACCTTTTCTGATATCTAGTAGTAGTAGAATACGATTATTGAGAGGAAAGATCCACCAAGATAGCTCGACATTAGAGTCATCTTACCCGGAGAAGAGATGGGAGGTTGGATCGGGTGGAGAGGTGAGATCGTATGTTACGCTAGGTTCGCTGACCTGACGTCAAAGACCGAGTCTATAATCATCTTAATACCTTCTAGTTCATTTCAGGGAGGCTACCCTAGAACTGCATTCCGCCAGAGCGAGGGATTCGCAGCATTTGCGAGATCATATGTACGTACTTTCTATGAGAAACGGTCGTTCATTGTCGCAAGTATTTACGAGCCGAATCGCGAAAGAACGATGCGCGAAAGAGATAGTAAACATACCGAAATCTTTAATGTTCCACGGATATTCGATAGATGGAGCCAGGAGTTTTCTTTCGTTATAAGAGGTCACAACATGTCGTAGCACACTCGGTCGTTGGCAGTCGCAAGCGTGTGAACCAGCCTCGAGTACGTCTCTACCCAAATGTAGCTCTAACTGTCCGGATCAGATGGCGAATTTCCGAACTGACCGTTATCATATTCGAAAGTTCCAAGTGATTTTCGGAAACTTGCAATGGGAAAGTGTAGGCACGAATATATAGATATGAATGGTGTAAGCTGCCGGGAAACAGGCCCCCATTTTTTTTATTGAATTGGTTAGTACAGGGTGTCACAAAACAAAAAAATGTACACGTTTTCTTTTTTTATGAAAAAAATAAACTAGGCATCGCCGGACGCTCATTCTCCGCCCAAAGGTAGCGCTAGAGGTCACAACCAGATGCCAAGGTTTCAGCCCGATCTGATACCTTAATCAAAAGTTATAAATGAATTTCAGAAAATTTCAATGGGAAAATGACGGCCGACGGAGTTTTCGAATGTATTGGGCTCTACGGCACCAGAAACCGAAAATGGGCAAAAATGGACTCCATGTTCGCATTGAATGTTTCAGAAAATTACTTGTAACTTTTGAATAAGGCATCGGATCGGGCTGAAACTTTGGCAGCTGTTTGTGACCTCTCGCGCTACCTTTGGGCGGAGAATGAGCGTTCGGCTATGCCTAGTTTATTTTTACGGTAAAAAAAACAACAACAACAACAAAAAAAACCTGTAAATATTTTCTCTGGCACCCTCTATATTACTAACACGTTTTAAGATATCCGCTAGTTCTAAAACTCTTGAGTCTGGTCCGGATCACTACATGTAGGCGGTGCGTTTCGCGATGCGTATAGTGTCAAAACTAGATGCTTTCGGGGACACACTCTATATAAACTTTGCACTGACGTCACATCCCTCATTTCGACCACCCACGAAAGAGAGAGAGAGAGTGCTGCTTTTGTACGAATCTCAAATGAGGGGGAGGGGGGCCTTTCTATCACCTTGTAGAGCGAGAATACGACGTCTGGGGCACAGAAAAGAGAGTCTCAGTGAGATCGGAGTTCCTCCTTTCCCTCGTGTCTGGTGGTGGCCGAAGAGCTGACGGGATCATGTCAGGTGCAAACAAGACGTCTCAAATAGACTCCGTTCTACGGGGCGCCCCCCAAAAATTGTGTTTTTTTTCCCCCGCAAACTACGAATTGCTGAAAGCCTAAGTGTAGCGCTAGCGCTTCGATTCAGGTGCCAAAGATTCCGAACTTCCCGTTATATTAATCAACGGTGGTCTTCTTAGCTTTTCAATGGGGAATTGGCGACCAACGGACGGAGCTCTCGAATACATGAAGCTGAACGACGCCAGTTGCGGAAGACGAGCAAAAACGGGCCCCATATTCCCGTTAAAACTTTCAGAAAATCACACAATTTTCTATCAAGACAACGGTTAGTTCTAAAACGTTGGCATCTGGTTCGGACCCATAACGCTACATTGGGACGGAGAATGAGCGTTCCGCAATGCGCAATTCAGTTTTGCAATAATAAAAAAAATCTTTTTGCGAATATTTTTGGGACTACACCCCGTAAGAGGCGTCTACGGGTGAAGGCGCACCCGCGACGTCTGGACGAAGATGTTTCCTGGTCGTCTTCGTCCACTCGCTTACGCAGGTCTACATAGGGTAGGGGGCGCATGCAGCAGGGTGTTGCAGCGGGCCGAGTCAATACGGCTTGAAGACAAGGCCCGCTCATGACGTCACTGTTTGTGTACCCGCCCTAAGCGGCAAGCACGCTGAACCTCCACGAAGGTTCCCACAAAGCGGCAGGCGCGTCCACATCGGCGTCGGCCTTGTGCTAGCGTCGTCCTCGTTGCATCGACACCAGTGTTGCGGAGTTGCCACTCTGGAGTTGGAATGATTCCGGAATCATTCCGCATCTTCGTGACCCCGGAAAGGAATGGGAATGGAATGGCGGTAACGATGAGAAAATGGAATGGGAATGGAATTCGATGCCTTTTGCCCAGAATGGAATGGGAATGGAATGGGCCCGGTTCTTTATTACTTTGTAATTTTTTTTTCTTTTTTTTTGTGGGGGGGTGAGGGGGGGGGGGGGGGGGTTACGGTTACGTTCAGCTAAACTGAGCCAGTCAGCGAGTCACTTGCTCAGAAAACAAATGCGCGGGAAACTGCTAGCACTACAAAAAACAAGCGTCAGACCAAAGACCAAAGGGGGGAGGGGGGAGGGGGTGGCGGTGGCGCTTTTCACGGACGCGCAGACAACGGGCTTCACTGGTGTTACACGAGAGCGAAACAAGAAACCAAGCACCAAGCAAAAGAAACGAAGGAAGCGGCAAAGAAAGAAGCCGCCATGCACGGCTTCTCATCGTGCTTCCTGTATTACATTCTTTTTTTTTTTTTTTTTTTTTTTTTGCGACGGCATGGGGATTGCACGCGCGCGAGATCTGGGAGCGGGGGGCGACTCATAACTCGCAGAGCTCTGATAACTCGTTGACTCGCACGCCGCCGCCGAAAGATGATCAGTTATTGTTTTCTTGTAGTTCGAGGAGCGTTATTTAGCAGGTGGCCAACCCTACTGCCTTCCACGTACATTCGGACGCAGTCTTTTGAAGTGCAAAATGGGAATTTGCTTCGGCATTAAAACAAAGCGAAATTCACTTCTCACTTCTCCTCTTGCGCTTTGCTCCGAGGCTTGTTTTTTTATACTGCATTTTTACGTGTAAGTCCGCCTTTTACTTGGTCTTTGTTCCGATGCTTGTTTTCTGTGTTATATGTTTTACATTCAAGTGGATTAGGGTTACAAGCAAGCTAGCGGATGCCCGCTCATTTCCTCTGACTTTAGTCTCTGCATACCTTGTTTCACCTTGCGACGGACCACTGCGGACACTTCGAGTCACCCCAGGCAATCCAGCACCGTGAGCTTAGTAAGATCAGTGCTTTTTTTAGGCATTTAGCATTTTTTTTTTGCAATTGTCTATGTGTTTTAGAATGTCAGCTTATGCTGCTTATGCCGGAAACATTGCACAATGTAACTGTAAAGTGCCAATTTTTACGTTTAGGAATTAGAGGAATGGAATGGAACGATTCAGCCATTCCAGGAGTGGGAATGGACCCAGTTTCCCCATTCCTAGGAGTTGAAAGGAATTGAATTATTGAAAACTGTAATTCCCGGAATGGAATTGGAATGGAAAGGGGAGGGGGGGTGCCCATTCCGCAACACTGATCGACAAACGCTGGCGGCGACGCTGACGCCATCTGGACGGCGCCACGTGGATGTGACGACGTTTGAGGGGGAAAGCGGCTCGTCTTCTAGGGGGAATTGGGCGATTACACGACCGGCATGCAGTAGTGGCCAGTGTGTCCCCGACACAACAGAGTTCCCTCGGGGTCCGCGCTAACCTTCGACCTTGAAGCCGTCGACGTTGGCCTTGACGTGCACCAGCTTGGCGTAGATGCGGCGTGCCTCCGAGACTCGCTGGAGGAAGAACACGCCCACGGCCTCGCTCCTCACGTAGCCCTTCCCTGGGAGGAGAACACGGCGCACGGGGCGCCAACTCGGCTCTTCCGAGGCACCCCCGAACATCTACCCAAGGGTTTCCTCCCAATTCCCAAAGGGCCCTCGAGAGTTCCGAAAGCACTCGGAAAGCCATCAAAAGAAAATGCGAAGTTCCACCGCATTTAATGAATAATCTCCGGAGAAATAGTCTGGATGCAGACAATCTAAGCGCTTAAAAACTTATCGTTGTCTGTGCGTAAATTATTTTTGGAGGCATGCGATCTTGTTTAGTTTGCACGTTTTTCAAGGCCTATGATTTTTTTTTACCTTAGCTCGTTCTAGTGTGTACGTTGTGTTTCTGCGTTTTCTCCGCTCGCTCTTGGCCATTGTAGGAGCCCAGGGATTGTGAACCTGTACACCACAGCTTCTTTCCTCGACTCCACTATCATATTCGATGGAAAATAAATATATTTATTATTAAATTATTATTATTATTATTATTATAAAAAGGTCCACAACTGAGTGATGTCTCCCCTTCTAGGACAACCTTCAGGTTCAGTTGACTCCCCGTAAGAATCCTTACGGAAGGTTGGGAACAGCGGCGGCCGCCATATCTTTCGGGGCACCGCAACCTCTGCGAAGCGTGCGATTGGATGCGAGGTGACGCCGAGCGGTGACTCAGCGCTCGGGTACCAAATGCAGGCTCGAAGTCCACGCTCCAAATATGGTCGGATAATCGATCGGACAATCGACGCAGTAGCTAGTAAAGAACGATGGATTACGAACACCACGTAGAGGCAAGAACTCCCAACCGATCATTGACAAGGTGAGATTTGAGAACGACAGGGATAACCATCAGTCGTCTTGCCACTAATGCGGTTTATGCGGTCGAGTTATACGGCCAGGGGGACATAATATAGGATGTGTCACGATCAGTCGACTAGAATATGCCAATTAATAATTTAATTATATAAAAAACGCATGGTTTAAATTAGAGACTTGGCGAGTGTCATCGAAAACCAAGTCTGTCAATTTAAGAAAGACTGGGAGGAGCATATGTGGGAGGCACGGAGGAGCGCTAAGGTTACCTCTCGCGCAGCAGCTGGGAGCAAGGCTATCGACACGATAACGTACCCGTCTCTTGGCCTGGTTTTCTCACCCTCGCCCCGCGCCTGTTGCGCCAGTGGTAACTTCAGCACTCTGCTGCGCTTCCCGCGCTCAAGGTGTTTACAAAATTGGTCCATTTAGTGGTTTTCGTCTATTTCCTATTTTGTCTATTTTCACTGACAACAAATGTTTGTTGATTATTTGACTTATCGTGGCAATTGCCCCGTTCCCCTGGCCGTAAAACTCACCTGCACAGACCGCATTGTGTAGTTTTCACTGTTTTCTAGCTCGAGCATCCTACCTTCGACAAGACTTGGGAGCGTCTTGCGCACCTCAAGCGCGCGCGTGCAGTCAAAGCACGGTGAAGATTGCATGGAGCGCGTGCTATAGGGGCCGGCTGTTCCAAAGTCACCCCATCCCTCACTAAAGACCGGCAAAAGGAAAAACGGGTTTCCGAAATCAAGTCCCGACAGAAAGTGGTCTTACCGTCGGCGTCGAAGGTCTTGCACTTGCCGTCTGGTGACAGCGTGCCGAGGCGGTTGAAGTGTAGTGCCGTGGCGGGCTTGAGCGTGAGCGTGCAGCCACCGACCAGGGCCGCCTCGCACTGTCCCGAGCGCAGCGCCAGCATGGCCTGGTTGAGCGCCGTCATGGCCGACGAACAGGCCGAGTCCACAGTGAAGCTCGGCCCTGGGAAATCATCCAGGCACGCCGCCCGTCAAGCCTCCTCCCACGCCGGAGACCGCAACGCTACCGAGTCTCTCTAGACTCGTTGAAGTCGAAAGTTCACGGACCCCGCCGGTGGGACTTTGCCACCAACTTTGTGTTTGACCATAGTATTATAGAGGAGGCTATGGTTTGACGAACGGCCCCGAAAGTTAAGCTTTTCAACCTTGCGGATCTTTTATTGGCGAGAATGGCAGCCCACTCTCGGCATCCATCCAATAAAGCAAAACATAGCGAGACGTTCAAATAGGCTGAGAGGGCCGGGGATTGCGCCGTGGTTCTACTCCGCGAGGAAGTCGCTCACCGTTGAAGTCGAGTGAGTAGGAGACGTGGTTGGAGAACATGGCCCGGCAGCCACCAACCAGGGCGCAGCCGTCGATCTTGTTTGTGTCCACGTTGAAGGCCTCGTTGGTCTCGGGCTCGCCGCTGCCCATGAAGACGCCGATCTTGCGTCCCCGCAGCGTGCCCGGGTCGTAGCCGGCATCCACGATCGCCTCGTGGGACGTCTCGAGGAACAAGCGCAGCTGCGGATCCATCACGTGCGCCTGCTTCGGGTGCACGCCGAAGAACTGCGCGTCAAACTGGGACAGGTCCCGGATCTTGCCCGACCGTTTGGGAAGGCCAAGCAGCCCTGCAAAACGAAGAAAAAGAAATGGCTGTCTCTTTTCTAAAAGACTTCGAAATGCGGCACATTCCTCTTCGCGCTTTTGTTTTTGCGGGCGCAGAGGCATACTGTGAGGATTCTGTGAATAACTGTCACATTACGTTATAGAGTCACATGACGTCACAATGTCAGGTTACGTCACCGAGGCTACATGCCAGGGACACAAAATCTCCGATGTTGGCCCTGTAAAGGCAATTGAACAGATCGTTATACAAAGAGGGTTCGAGCATTTCTTCGCTTCTCTCGACGCTCGGAAACTTAGGGGAAACAGAAAAGAGCAAGATTTGCACGTAGCTGTTCCCGAACGTTCTCTTGGCACTTACTCAAAGCCAACTACTTGATTGGTTATATCGTGTTTTTTTATATTCTGAATATCCAAGCTGTAGGTAATTAGTGCGTTTCGAAAGGCATAGCAAAGTAACCGTCTGAATGTTGTGATGAGTTCTTTTGCACAGCCAAATGTGAATATACCCAAATGAGAGAATAAACTAACGTGAGCATAACCCAGTGCGATCATAGGCTAATGTGAGTATAGACCAATGCGAGCATGGACCAATGCGAGCTATTGCGTAATACACATCGCCCTTTCCACGCACTGCGCAATCCGATGCGCCGGCCCGCGAAGGAGTGCCCACGAATAAAAGCTTCACATGTTTGTCTAACACTTTGAGATTTGAGAACGCAAAGCAACACGTTAACAGAACGTGGTCCGCTGTGTGATATGTTCGCTATGTTTCCTTCGTGTTCCGAAAGTAGCTAAGCTCCGCCCAGAACCGTACCTGTTCTAGACGGTCCAGGAGGTGCAAAGAATAAACACCGCGTTTGTAAATCCCACAAAAAAGAAAGCGCTTTTCTCTTTTAAGGAGCTTTTTTAAATGTTGGAGGTCACATTTCTTTTACCCGTCAGTTGGAAAACGCGTTTTATTTAATGAAATATGGTAGAAGCCTCAGCGCTTGATCAAGCCACTTCATTGTTACAAAAATTTCTCTTAAAAAAAAAAAAGAATTAGCGCGGTTTTCAGACGGCGAAGTCTTGATCGAAGTTGTTACGTTCCAGTAAAAGCCAGATTTCTAGCGACAAATATATTTACCTCGGTTGTTGGATCCTCGTATTACACCAGCTCTAACTCAATATTGACGTGACAGTTAGTAATCTAATACGGATATCGTCATCCTTTTGCGTTCAGCTCCATAAAAATTGCAGTTTTAATATAATTCCCTTTTATGAGAAACGCAGCGGATGACGTGCCTTCCAGACACGCGTGACGCTGTGTCTAGGAACCCCCTCCTTTTGTATAGTTTATTTTATGTTGTAGTTTTCGAAGCTTTTGCAGTTGGCGAAGTCTTCTCGAAGCGTGCGGAGCAGGTGTTTGGCAGCCGGCCATCTTCCTTCGACGGTACGCTTCACTCCCTTTTTTCGAGGCTGACTCAGAGTTAGCTTTAGTAAGAATGACCTTTTCCCAAAAGTCCGCGTCCTCCGGTAGTCGCTCCGAAGCCGTCATATTTTGGGCACAAGCCTTGAGCCTTCAATGGAAACGAGAGCAAACCCAGCGTTGGGCGCGACAAGGGTGCAAATAGATTAGAGACGAGGGCTACGGTGCCGTAGCCCTCGTCTCGTTACACAATGTCGAGGATGAAGGCGGTCGCTCACATTCAGCGGAAGTTTCGCGGTCGCCGATGAGCACGTCTCTGTCGTGAAAGATGCGTAGTCCAATCCACCTTTTTCCGCAGAAGTGGCGCTACCTGTTGGGAGACGTCCGAACTAGCGAAAACTGGGTTCGAGGCGTTCTTCGTATGAAAACACGCCCGCCATTAGGCTTGAATTGTACACGTTGCGAGGTCCACTGTTCTTGCACGCCACTTTTCCGCCTAGTATTCGTAGCTCGGCTACCTTTCGGCAACTGTTGAGGATGGCCGAGGACGGCAGCATCCCGTTCCCGTTCCCACCCGACGGCTGGACTGAGAACGCTCCGCCGTTCGCCAACCTCTCGCAAGATGAAGTGTGGCGGTACCTTCACCGCAAGACGGACTCGCTCCGACAAGCTCACCGGGGATGGGCCTTCAAAGAAGAAGGCTACGTCCGGAACGTCCGATGGAACACATCGGACGATTCCCGGATCGGTCTCGTCCGGGGCGTCTGCCTGCCGTCAATGAAGAAGGCGCCGTACACAGTCTCGGCGTGGTTCGCCAGAGGCACCGGGAGCGTCATCGGCGGCACTTGCAGCTGTGTTGCTGGGTGAGCGATATTTTGCTTTTACATGCGTTAAAAGTCATGCGCAAACCTATTATAAGCAAGGCTAATTGCGTTCCGCTCACGCTATCCCCAACGCGTAAGCAGCGAGATCGGTCACTCCTTGAAACCTGGGAAGCGATACCCGGTTCGCCCAGGCTCATTTCATCGAATACACGCGAGTTACATTGGCCAAGACAAACCCCATCGTGCTATGCTCCGTTTCACCTTATGTTGTACCGCAGCGACGGCTAGAAGCGCGAGCTCATAGCGTTGGCAGTTGCCCTCGGTGCACGGGAGCTTGTGCCGCCGAGATGTGCCATAGAGCAAGGAGCTCGCGCGTATAGCCTTTCCTGCGGTACAACACAAGGTGAAAAAGAGTATAGCAGCAAACTCATGTGGTTTATCGCTCATGCTCGCAGTGCTTGCTCCTTGGCTTAGGTAGTGTAAAAGATGCATGTCTCCATCATGCACCGACAGCCTGTGTACAACGAAGGCAACCAAGAGCTGCTACGCGTGCAGCTATAATCCCGCTAATTTGGTCTTGGTTGACTGCCTCGATTTTCCAGGAAAAGCCAGTCCTGCCAACATATTGCAGCAATGCTGCTCTATGCCGAAGAGAGCTGCAACGCCTGCTCGACGAGCTGCACCGACATACCCTGCACCTGGATTGTGCCTGCTGAAGGTGTGTACACTACGGCCCTTAAAGAGGCTCCATAGGAATCTTTTGCTCAGAAATATGTTATTACTTCGTACCTAATATATTGGAGAATAAGACCAACGTCCAAGCTGTCTTAATTATTTAGCCAAGCTCACCTCCATTGCTAGATAAATGTGGAACCAAACAGCCAATGCTTTTTGTGTTCGTTTTCATGAAAGTGAAACTCTACATTTTCTACATAAAGCAGCTTGGATGATAAGCTATTAACATGATTACAAGATGGAAAACCTAGATGTGGCTTATTTTAGAACTGAACTGACAAAATTTCTCTTTGCAGCCAAGAAGCCTGCTCCCCTGGTGCCACTTGCAGACATCACGTTCCACAAGTACCTGATCAACAGGCCGGTGAAGCAGAAGAAACGACGCTCTTTTGACCCTTGTGAGAATGTTGGTGTTGCTTCGGCTGAGGAGATTCAGCAACTGCGAGATGCCCTCAGTGTGTCTACACCGGGCCTCCAGTGGCTTCTGTACAGTGGTGTACAGCAACTTGGACCAGCGGCACCAGTGCTCCTCATCCAAGATGATGAAGATTTGTGGAGTGAGAATGCCCGGGACGTTGTTGCAAAACACATGGAGTCCCTTCCAACATTGACGGAGGAAGAGAGGGAACAAGTGACCCGGTCCACCATCGGTCAAGCCAATAATCCAAGGTGGCACAAAGAGCGGCAGGGCAGGATTACGGCATCAGTCTTCTCTGCTGTCATCAAGTGTGTCAAGCCCGAGTACCTGGTCAAGGGTATTTTGTACCCGAGCCCAGATGCCTCAAGTGAGGCCATGCGCTATGGGAGGACGCACGAGGGTACCGCAGTCTCAGCCTATGCATCACTCATGGCAGCATTCGACACTCCCGTCGAGATCCGCGAGACTGGGCTGCACATTCACCCAGAGTGCAGCTTCATTGCAGCATCGCCCGACCGCATCGTGAGGAAGGACAACGAAGAGGGCCTTTTGGAGGTGAAGTGTCCGGCTTCGAAGATTGGGCTAACACCAATGGAGGCATGCAAGGACAAGAAGTTCTGCTGCGAAGTTGTGGATGGCGTGGTACGACTGAAGAAGACTCACGCCTACTTCTACCAGGTGCAAGGGCAGATGGCAGTGACCGGACACCAGTGGTGCGATTTTGTTTTTTGGACTAACAACACGACTGTTGCCAATTCGACGCACGTCGAGACCATCGCCTTCGACAAGAAGTTCGTTGATGGAGCACTGCTGCCAGGGCTTATCTACTTCGCCAAGCATGCCCTATTCCCAGAAGTGGTAACGGGCCGTGTGAGGCGTCGAAGAGCCCTGATAGCTCGCGGCCAGTACGTCTCCTTCAAGAAGTTCTGCAAAGGGTTTTATGTGGTGGAGGACGGTCCCGGACTGAAAAAGAAGCTGCGTAGGCTGGAGTGAAGGAGCGCCTGCATGAAGCCCGAGGCTTCTCCAAGTCACAACGGCTCTTTTCAGAGCCAAATAAATATGCTTGTCAGGGGAAGTGCTTTTGTAGCCACTCCCGTGTCTTTGAGAATGGTGTTTACTGCAGAAAAACAGGACACAGGGTGTGGTGGTTTACATTTTTACAGTTTATTACAATAAATAGAAAACCATTTGCCTATAAACAAGCAGAGCTAATTCCTTCTTAAACTGTTCAGAGTAAAAAACAAAAAAAAAAAAGATTTTCTAGCTCCAACTTGTATTAACACATGATTTGTTGAGGTAGCGTGTCAAAGTCATTAACATTACAATCGACTTTGCAGGGAAAAAGACCCGAAGTAGCCAAAACTTCGTTGGCTTATTCAAACTTTAATCTCGCTATTGATGCACAACAGAGAATTCACACTAGCTACTCATGTACTTCCCAAGCAATATATTCAAACACCAAAGATTGGTGCATGAGAGTTTTTCAAATAAGGAAACTCTGGACATAACCCAGCTGAACACAAAGACTCCGAGGCAGTAATCACCCAAACTGCATACTAACCTAAAGCCAAAGAGCAAGTTCTAGATAACGCTGTACAAAGTTACTAGAATCATAAA